ACTCAGATTACACTTAGTTCACCAAAACTAAGCACCAGTCTTGTGCAAGCCACAGTTTTCATCCTCAAAGCTTAAGAATGTTAACCACATCAGTCTCCTTGGTGCACGCAGCCACAGACCAGCCCCCCCTCCGCCCCCCGCCATCAGGTAGGATCGTGGTAGGAATCGTGTCCTCCTTCTGTAGCCTCTGTAAAATGAAGCTGATGAAAAAAGGCATCAATGCTGGTGAGGTTTAAAATCAATTACCAGGAAGGAATGTAAGAAATCTTATTAATCTCCTGTTTATGCTTAACAAAATAAATAATTTAGTTGCCTTATTTTGACCTTCTGCTCCAAGAGGGTCATTCTTACGAACTTGGTGTGTTGTGGTTACTCATTAAATCCTTATCTCTTATAAACTCCTTTGACTTGAGACTTTGACGAGGCCAGAACTCAGTCATCCAGCCAGGATACATTTCTAGGGAATTTCACACTGTGCTGCCTTACTTTACCGGGCCAGTACTGCTCCAGTTTTGGCAAAAGTTTTCACTTTAGGTTTAGCTTTCCACATATAAGCATGGATACCTAATTTGTTGGCCGATTTTGCTTGCTGTGGACACCTACATACATCTGACTTTTGGAACTCTAGCAGCATTGTGTTCTCAGTACATCATCAGTTGGTCATCTGGGGCTCCCTAAAGAACAGTTTGCATTAGAAGCACATTTGGAGCAATGTTGATTTAACAGTTCCACAAATGTTTTTGTACGTGGAACATGAAGAAGACTCCCAGTGATAAGCAAGTCAGACACCCACATTGATAATAATAGCTCACGTTACGAAGTTTCCACTGTGCCGGGCACTGTCATAAAGGCTTCACGCGTCTTCCTCATTTCATCTTTGCGTCAGCCCCATGGGGCACGTCCTGTTCTTAGCCTCGTCCTATGATAACATATCTTACTCCAGGTCACCTGGTGGAGAGGTGGCAGGGCCTGAATCTGAGGGCTCCTCTGCAGAACCCATGCCCTTACCCATCTCTGCATGGCTCATTGTAGAAGCATTGCTTCTGCCACCATGTTTGGGGGAGAGCAGGTTCCTGTTTCCACTGTGATGTCTGGACTCCCAGGTCCCCTAACTCATCACCCATTATGACTAGCATTTCCACAGCTCCCTGGCCTTTCCTAAGTCTCATACCTGCTCCTTACCATCTCCCCCTGCACCCCCTGTTGCTCCCAGCATGAAGACTCCCAGAGCTGGTGTACGTGGTGTCCTGCACAGGCTCCTGCTCATCTCTGACCATTGCCCCCCATGCATTCCCTGTTCCAGCTGCACTAAATTCATTTCCATCCCTTGACTATGCCTGCCAAAGGCTCTTTTTTTGTGGGGCCTGTTCATGAACTGTTACAGCAACACCCACGGCTTGATAGCAGCTGCTCTAGCCCCTGGCCCTGTTGACTTTCACTAGGCTGACCTCTCTTCATCTTTCAATCCTCAGCTTGGAGGGCACTTGATCCAGGAGGCTTCCCTAACCCCCAGATCTGTAAGGGGCCACCCTCCTGTGCTTCCCAGGGCACCCTCACTTCCTAGTCCTAGGATTCTGTACTCATACCTGCTTGCTGTCTAGATCCCTCCTCCGGTGACCGCCCCATACAGGTGGGGGTCATGGCTGACATGTTCACACCTGTCTTCTCCACACCTCTCACAGTGTGTGATAAACAGGAGGTACTTGATGAGTGATGAATGAGCAGTGACTGGGTCGTCACTGTTGAGAGTAGCAAGAACAGGCCTCAGCGATGTGCACCCTGAGGCAGCATCAGAGTTTGTGACTACAGAGCTGGGCCGCTGTTGCTCTCTCACGTCCCCTGGTGGAGGGCATGCCTCTGCTTTGAAGTTCAGCTCCATGCATGTATCTGTTGGGCTCAGTCTCTGCTCTTCTGGTCTGCTGGCTCAGCCTGTTCTCTGCTTGGTTGTCACACCTCTAGGAAAGGCCTCCTTCACTTGCTCTGGCAGGTGTGGAGCTGCATGGTCGGGGGAGAGGGGGATAAGCAATTATCTGAGCAAGGACTTCCAAGAGCAGAGCCTCTCTGGCTGCCCTGGCTTTGCCTTCCCTGGGGAGTCCTCACTCACAGGGAGCAGAAGCCTCAGGCAGGGGAGCCACCAGCATCTTGCAGGGAACGCTGTTCTGGGGTCAGGGCCAGCTGCAGACATAATGAAAACCTCTTCCTGCAGCAGCAGCTCCTCCGCACTGCCTTCCTCCTTCCTCCTTCCTCCTTCCGCTCCCCTGGGTGGCCCTCTGCATCAGCATGGAGTGCCAGCCAGGGCCTTCCCCGCTCACTGCAGGGAGACTCACAGGCTGTCTGTTGTGCTCTCGGGAGAGCCCTTTCGAGCAGCTCCAGGGAATGGGCCTTTCCATGCACTTCTTTCACAAAGCCAAAAATAAGCCTACCAGCATGGAGACTCCAAGTTAGGTCAGAAATAGCACTTTTCTCTGGTTAGCACACAGAGGTTGCATTCTTTGATTCTCCCAAGGCAAAATGGCAAGTGAGTTTAGTGTCTTCTGTGACGGAGTCTGAGGAATTCATACAAAGGTGCTTTTACTCCTCTGTCATATTCCAGTTCGTGCTTCCATTTCAAGTTGATACATGGACTTAGTTGTGACCGTGATTGACCCTGTATACTGTGTATTTTTGTTGGAGGAAAAAAAGACATATGGAAGTTCTGGACCTTAGTTAAGAGTGAGTATTTCATGGTCTCCTTTGGGGTGAGTTAATGTCCAAAGTTACCTATCTAAGTCTTTCGATTCCCACCTATGATTTGGCTGTCCTCTAGGATCTCTCTAGGTGACGTAAAAACACACACCATATAGTATTTTTATGAGGAGAAAGGGAGATGAGGAGAGATTGAATGAAGAAATGGTGGTGTAACCATAACATGATGAAGGATAATTAAGTAATCCCTAGGTTGTTTAATTAATTTTTTTAAGGAATCTCTAATCCCAGCGTGGGGCTCGAGCTCACGATCCTGAGATCAGGAGTCACATGCTCCACCGACTAAGCCAGCCAGGCACCCTCCCTTTTTTAAGTAATTACTTTTTTTTAAAAAAAGATTTTATTTATTTATTTGACAGAGAGACACAGTGAGAGAGGGAACACAAGCAGGGGGAGTGGGAGAAGGAGAAGCAGGCCTCCTGCAGAGCAGGGAGCCCGATGTGGGGCTTGATCTCAGGACCCCGGGATCGTGACCTGAGCCGAAGGCAGACGCTTAAAGACTGAGCCACCCAGGTGTCCCAAGTAATTACTTTTAAAGCATTTATTAAACTGTACTGAACATAAGCACCTGTGTGCTTAGGAGTATAGACCCCTCACCTCAGATGTTTCCGTGATCCTTTTCTTTTCTTTTCTTTCTTTTTTTTTTTTTTAAGATTTTATTTATTTGACAGAGACATAGCGAGAGAGGGAACACAAGCAGGGGGAGTGGGAGAGGGGAGAAGCAGGCTTCCCGCGGAGCAGAAAGCCCAATGCGGGTCTCGATCCCAGGATTCTGGGATCATGACCTGAGCCAAAGGCAGCCGCTTAACGACTGAGCCACCCAGGCGCCCCCCGTGATGCCTTTTCATTGCCACTTTCTCCTGAAGCTTAAACTCTCCAAGAGAGGGACTTTCTTTTGTTCTTGACTCTATTCTCCAGCTATAGCCGACCCCAGGCCTAAAACAAATGTTTATTGAACAAATTACATTGCCACTCCCCTCAACAGATGTGCAGCGTGGTGAAATTTCATTAAGGACTAACAATGGATTCATTTAAATAAGATTTGCTTCCTTTTCAGAAATTGCTTGAGTTCTGCCTGGAAAAGCTGCTGCTTTAGTATTTTCCCAGCAGATAGTTCTTCTGAAGACCTGGAGCAGGGACCTACCTGCCTTTTAGAGCTGCCTAACAGTGTAGCATACTTTAGTGTGTTATTTCAGCCTTTAATAAGAATTGTAAAGATGTTGGTTAATTGTCCATTTAACTATTTTTTTAAAAGATCTTATTTATTTTTTTAAAAAAGATTTCATTTATTGACAGAGAGAGAGAGTATGAGCAGTGGTGGGAGCGGCAGGCAGAGGAAGAAGCAGACTTCCCGCTGAGCAGGGAGCCCGATGCAGGACTTGATCCCGGGACTCCAGGATCATGACCTGAGCTGAAGGCAGTCGTTTAACCAACCGAGCCACCCAGGTGCCCCAAAAAGATCTTGTTTTTATTTATGAGAGAGACAGTGGGGGGAGGAGCAGAGTAAGAGGGAGGAGCAGACTCCCATCTGAATGCAGAGCCCAACTTGGAGCTGGATCTCAGGACCCTGAGATCATAACCTGAGCCGAAACCAAGAATCAGATGCTTAACCGACTGAGCCACCCGGGTGCTCCCCCCCCCACTTTTTTTAATGAGGATTTTGTGAGAAAATAAAATTATCGTAGACTACAGCTTGACAAAAGCTGCATGTTCTTGCTATGAATGTTTAGATCCAACAGAAAACTGGTACTTGATCATCTGTATCAAGGGAGGTTTTAATTACTCCTGTGGTGCACATTATGGTCTCACTTTTCATGGCAGTTTTGCAATCCTGACATAGGTAACATGGTCCATATTCTAGATCACCCTCGTATATAGACTGACTGAACAAAATAAACCCAAGAATGTCTAGGGTCAACCATCATTGTCTGCTGAGCTACCGGCACAAAGCAGTCATGTGACCCTTGCATAGAGGAGCTTTTTAATGCTCATTTCAGCCCCCCCCGCAAGGTAAAATGTGCAGCCAAAATCAAAGACAACATGATATAAGTAAATGGTGTGTCTCGGAAGCAAACATTCTCCCTGAAATATGCGCGTCTCTGAAAAGATCATAGAAATCAGTAGTAAAATATGACATTCATATTTTCACTTTACTCTCCACTTTTCAGGAGCATGTCCTGCATAGAAAGCAAGATCAAGCTGCATTTCAACCAACGGTGGTTTCCATCTGTGCTGATTGTAATTTTTATCCATAGGTTTGAAGACATACCTGATAGCGGGTCAGAGAGCGAAGGAGTCTCATTGCAGCTGTTCAGAGGCCTTGCTTTCTGGCTTTGAGGTCATTGACGGCTCACGGGTGTCCTCGGGTCCTAGGGGACAGGGGACAGCATCACCAGGGAGTGTCAGTGACTTGGCGCAGACTGTCAAAACCTTTGATAACCTTAAGGTTAGTTTTTTTTTTCTACTTCTAAAATTTTATATTAATTCTGCAGTAGAACATGTGAAATAATAAGCAGCCTTTGGGTCTGTGGCAGACGACTTGGAATGCCCTTCACTTTGGTTTTTTGCGATTTTTAAATTTAGTATGAAGTCACCAGCATTTTGCATTTTTTAACATCTTTGCTTTTTTGACATATTATGCACCTCCATTTTCTTTCCACACTGCATCAATTTGCTTCTCACTCGAGCTGTTTTCTTTTCCTGAGAACTTTGCTGTCTTTTGGGGATCTCTGAAAGCTAATGATAAGTGATAGTAAAGGTGATTCTTCTCGCAACTTGCTTGGTGAGCTCATTCGTATCTTATTTCAGAGACCATTTTCCCCAGTGCTCCTATGTCTCTTGAAATCCAACGTCTCACGATTATTTTAAATTTTGTTGGTGTGGGTGAATCTTGTGGCGTAGCTCACTGAAAGAGTGCGGGCTTGCCGGGAACATTACAGCATTTCATTGTTGGGGCAGAGACCTCCTGGTGGCTGTCTCCACGTACCCATTTGTGTCATCATCAACTGCCACAGGATTAACATGGTGGACCATGGGCATAGGAAACCACGCCAGTGTATGAGCTGCTCCTCAGTTTTCACATGTGATTTCATTTCCCCCACTGGTATCTCTTGTTTGTTTTTACTGTTGAAATATTTGCTGTTTCCATTTGAAAAAAAAATACAAAGAGAGATAACGGTTCCCCTTCACTGTGTTGTGCTCTCAAATAATCAAATGATATGTTGGTCCAAATGATGGCCTGTTGTTACAGCTTTAATCCAGTATGTTCCTGTTTATCCACATTCATTCACAGCTTTGAAGGCCAGCTCTGCTGCTATTTAAGTTCAACAGGATCATAACGTGGGCATCCAGGTCATTTCCCTCCACCAGAATCCATAGTCCCTGTCGGCCAGTTACTTTGTGTAATTCTCATGCTCAGGTTTATTAATAGCACTCGTGTATCATTTTTATCATATGCTTTGTTAATTTAGTGCAGGGTTTTTCAATGTCAGGACTAGGAACGTTTTGGGCTAGGTAACTGTGGTGGGGGCTGGCCTGTGCACTGTGGGATATCGAGCAACATTCCTGTCCCCCACCCACCAGATGCCAGGAGCACCTGCTCTTCCCATTATGGTGACCAAGAATGCTTCCAGACACTGCCCAGTGACCCCTGAGGGTTGAGGGAGGGTAAAATCCCCTCTGGTTGAGAACCTGTGAGGTAGGGTACTAGACGCGGTCCTTTCCCATGTCCTCAGCATACGTGTGACTGCTAATGTCTCTGAAATTTCCTTACTGCCTGCACCCTTTCAAGACAGCCTCTGCTCGGGGCGATGTTTTGCAGCAGTCAGGAAGAGGAGCTCTCTGGTCTTGGGCTCACGGGCTGTCCCTGAGCATGGGCAGGAACCGTTGTAGAGGGAGAAGTTGAAAACGTGGTTTTCCAAATACAGCTTCATTATTTAGAGAGAAATTATTTCCTCTGGGCTTCAAACTGAGCTGTATTTAAGTAGAGAAATAGAGCTCAAATCCAAAAATAAATGATGTGTTGTGTTTGCCTTCCATGTTAGATTATGTGTATGTGTGTTTCTAGCCATAGCACCTAACTTCCAATTTTAGTGACAGTGATTTGATGCTAAATTGACCTAAAAAGGTTTTTCTCTTATCCCAGAGAACATTTCTTGTTCTAGTTATATGTATATATAAAGATATAAATGTATTTATCTTTATTTTAAAAATCTGGATAGATAAAAACTATTTAGCGTATTCTGTTGTCATGTATGAATTTTTAAATAGTCATTGAAAGTTTTCTGAAAATCTTGTGATCTATTAAGTTAACTGTGTCTGCCAAAAAGAATTTTAGTTGGGGGAAAAGATCTTTGTGTTCCTTCCAGGGGGGAAGGACGAGCTAGATCTTGAAGTATAATTTCTGGGATATTTTCATGTGAGGACATCCTAGATGAGGACCGCCTCTGCGGTTGGAGTGGGAGGAGCACAAGAGGTAAACAGCGTGGTCTCCAGGCTTTGCCACTCTGGGGAAATCATGTGCAGTCTGGCCCCTTTGCTTCTAGTTCGTGGGGTCAGGTAAAAGCAGGCCTCTGTGAGTGCCTTGCAAATAGTATGCGCTGGGTAACTGAGTGAGTTGTTAGGAGCTATCGTCAAGCCTGAAAGAAAACTGAGGTCTGCTTCAAGGAATACATACATTCTAATCTGACAGATAAGTCTTTTTTTGGGTAAGAGTTTTCACACAACAGAAAAAATACTGGCTGCTCGCTCATAGGTTCTTGGGGTAGATTTATCCTGTGCACTTGTCCCATGTGTCATTGGTTTGTTGCCTTATGTCTGCACTACGGTTAGTTTTTCCGTTTAGCTAGAAGCACTGAGTGGTTCCTCCTAATCATTTGCTAGGGTCTGTTGACTCTCCCTGTGAACGAGCTTCTTTCCTTTGTGGCTGCTGCCCCCTCGTCCAGCAAGAGGTGGCTCCCGTGTGGACTTCTGTCACCAACCCCGCATCTCCTTGCCCAGTGCGGGGAGCCCTGGCTCGTGGAGGGGGCCTGTGTCAGGCAGTGTTTCCCTTGAATGTACATTCTCTGAGCAGTAGTTTCTCAGGTTGGAAATAGGTGGCAAGTATGGAAAAAGCATTCTGTGGTCAAGGAAACCTGCACAGTTCTGGGCTACACGCTGCAGAAAGGGTCTCTGTGCTCCAGGACATCTCGGAGCCTTTAGCGTGCTACTGCCCACCGTTAGGCTTCCAGAGAGGGATGTGGCAGCCGCATTCTCGGGCTTCTGTGACCACAGACTTCTTTCTTCAAGCCACACCTTTTGGGGGAATGATTGTCTAGTGGAAGGAGTTTCATGCAGGAACCAAGAAATTAGGGAAAGGTGTTGAGTGAATATTTCTCAGGTGAATGCATGTGTGCCTTGACCTGTCGCTCCTGTCACCTGCAGTGCACCTCACTGTCCCTTTCCCTCTGAGCTGCTCTTCCTTGCCCTGTTCAGTGTCATTGGAGTTTCTAGTGACTCCTCCAGCTAACAGTGCTGTCTCCCCATCTTCATATCCTCGGTCCATTCAGCTGTAATGTACACCTTTACTTGTTTCTTACGCAGCTTCCTGTGAGCTCTTTGAATGCAGGTAGAACCCGTGTGTGAAATAACTTACATTTTTCCCAAGTGTGTAGCCTGGCATGGGGTAGATAATTATAACTTTCTTTTGGTTTAAGTTTTTTTTCTTGAATGATACACAGAGAACTGTAGCTCTGCAGAGCTGGGCCATGAAGGACCGAGTTCAGAAGCCCAGGCAGAACTGAATAGAAGCAGATAACATCAACGAAGCATTTGTTTTCCACTCCTTGTGCACATGTCCCATGTGAGTTGTCTCTCAGTTCATAGCTGGAGGATTTTTACCTAATATTTCATTAAATAGTATAACTACTGTGATGACCTAGTAGTGACGTCAAAGGTCAAAGGGTTTGGCCCTGAGGTCATAGGTCAGAGGGACCCCTTCCCACACCCAAGTCTTGGCTTCTTGAGTGACTGGCAGTGAGAGTTTCTCATCAGGAAGGCCCTGGATAGCATAATGGTGGGGGGGGGGGAGTACTACTGTGGAAAGGGCTTCTCAAAGCCTTGGTCTTGGGACTGTGAGCAAATCATTTAGTTTCTCTTGGCCACAGTGAGATGGTAATGACTATCTCCCAGCTTTGCTGTGAAGATCAGCTGAAGTAATGTCCATGAATATTAGGTTTGGAGTAGAAGCTCTGTTAACACTGTACACGCATGTATTCACTCCACGTGGAGAAATGGACACTGACCGTGGTAGGAGTGAAGAAGGGCAGGAGGAGACAGGTAATGCTTTGATTTGCCCACAAGGAGTCACTGACTCTCTCAGGAAGGTCTTGGCTTCTCTGTTCTGATACGAGGGAGGTTCTTCAGTTTTCGCTGTAGGGGATGTAACCATGTCACACATGTGGCATCAGAGCATGAGCACCTTGGCCCGTTTAGTGTGACCTCAGCTCTCCAGGGGATGTCTGCTGCTCCTTCTCCATGAACACTGTGGGTGATGGACGGATTGAGACTACCTGTGCCAAGGAACATAGCTGGTCAGGCATCTTTGTGAAGAACAAAGAAATGAAAACCAAACATGTGGTTGTTTTGTTTTGTTTTTTAATCACATCAGTCCCAACCAGTGAACTTTGTGAGTGGTGAACGCATCTTAGTTCATCTCCAACGGGCCTCATTGGAAAGACACTTGCTCAGCTAGTCTTGTGAATTTAACCTTAATCTATTATTCAGAACCCTGGGTCTGTGCGCTCATAGGGCAATTCTACATGTTTACAGTTAGTAATGAGGCGAAGGATGTAGATTCACCCACATGGGGGCAATTTAGGGAGGATCTGTTCTGTTTTCAAAAGGGTAATGCTTTCCCTTTGAGGTCAGTAGCCCCAGGGACCATCCTTTTGTGGCAGTCCCTTTGACTTTTTTAATGACTCTAAATAAATGGTTACTTCTTTTATCTCCCTGTTATTTGTACGTAAAATAATTATGACTAGGCTCCGTGGGCTCAGTGTGAGGAGGCAGTGGGCCTTTTAGTTCATTTCAGAAATGGAAAAGGTAGTAAATATCTGTCTGTCTATAGTTTAGATACTAAAGTATTTCTTATAAATGGTGGTCGAATTGGTAGTGGTGATGGTTGCACAATTCTGTGAATACACCACTAAAAGCCACAGAATTATATATTCTCTAGATGGGTCAGTTGCATGGTATGTGAATTCTATCTTGATAAAGCGGTTATAAAATAAATAGTAGTCTGATTGCTTGCTCTGAAAGGTGAGCATAACGTAAGTTTTTTAAAAAAAGACATTCAGGTTTTATCTATATTTCCAGTCATGTGTGTTTCCTTCAGCTAGGAGAAAGCCTGTCCCATGGAAATCAGCACCTTACAGAAGAGTTCCAGGTGATGGAGGTAGAAGGAGTGAG